AGGGATTGATATACATTTCCAAAGTATGCCCATTAGTCTTGATTGTAACTATCTCCTTGGCCTAACCTAATTCTTCCATCACACAATCCCATTTTTGATGCTTATAATTTTCTGTAGCGCACACATGGACCATTTTCCATAAAAATGATGAAAGACTCGAGTTTGTCTCTGCCTCCTTTGGGCTAGCGAGTGATTGAAGCTCCTTGAGTTGGTCTTTTGTAACATAATATATGCGACTTATGAGATGATCATGAGTAGCTTCAACAGTTCTTTAGGAGTTGGAGGTGGTGAGAATGGCAGTACAGTCACCTAAGACGGGTCAACGCATCCAAGCCGTCTAGGATTTAGCAGGATCGACGAAAAGATGGTAGCAAAGAAATTGGTTTGGACTGAGCTAATTCAGCCCATGACACAGAATATATTGATGGAGTATGCGTCTGCTATTCGGTGGTCGAAGGTGCACGCACCACAAGACCGCCGCAATTGAGTTCAGTTGCCTGTAAATCAAATTATATAATATTAATTGATTACATACATACACTGATCATTAAGGGAATTCTAATCTTTGAGCTATGTAGAAAAATTTAACTGCCATCAACTGCCTCACTTTTGATTTACCTAAGACAATAACACTTACTGATGTCCCCAGATTCCCTTAGCTCCCTAAATTACGTGTCAAAATGATTTAGATTAAATATAATATCAAAAAGGTTCTTGGAATACATTCATTCGTATCTTGTTTCAATCGATATCTCGCAGGAGGTGATGGAAATTAAAAAAAAAACATTAATTAATGTACGCATGTCAGTTCTCCTGCATGGGTGGTTTTGTTATATTTCTTGTAAAAGTGTCACATATATTATCATGTACATATATTTTAAGAAACATTACTAAATCTCATACGGTATGATATCAAAACCATGTTATTAGTTGTTTGATGCATTAATCCAATTAAGAAGCAAAAAAACTTTGAGGGATAAACGATAAGTGACCTGAATAGAGAGCACCATTCTCTTTTAGGCACGAGCTTGCCTTCAATACTTTCGTCAGGGTTATACAAGTTGAGTTCACTCAACTCGACGTTCGCAAAGGCTTCAACAGTCCACTCCACGGTTGTTGCAAAGGAGCTCGGCCACCAACAGGGTGGGTACGACCTCTCACCGCGAGGGCGTAGATGACACTAGCGTTTGAGCCAGGGCCTTCTTTAGAATAGCAACCATGGAGGCAAAAGTCATTGCTTGAAGTGACTGGTTATGTAGCAAAAGAACACACTAACATCAACCGGTGGCGCAGCAAGTCGAGGTGGAGAAGGGACCAATGATCCTCAATGGTAGCACTGCTGCACCACCCTTCTTGCTTACAGTCACAGTGAAATCTCCTTCTGCAACCATCTTTTGGTTCTTTCTCTCTGCGCCTTCTTTTAACGAAGATGAGTTTGTGAAGAAGCAGGAGGGGAAGGGCATAGATTATATAGACAAAATGTAGAAAATTTATAGTAATTTATCGGAAATGACAATTTTGACTCTACGCTTAGCCCATATTAATATTTTATCCTAAAAGAATTACTATGTTAAGGGTATATCAGTCTTTAGTAATCATTTATTAAGGATTAAAATATTGTTCTAAATTCACTAGTAAATTTAGGTGAAACAACTCTCATGAAATGTGGCTTATAAGTTTCTGGTGGTTTATATTAATTGCATTTCAAATAAACTTTAAATATGTTTATTATTAAATGAATAGGTCAAATTTACTTTAGCTATATGGCGAAATGCAGGGCTGGAAATTTCTTGAAATTTGAAAAGATATTTTAACTTAGCCTTGGCCCTTGATATATATATATATATATAAAAGATATTATTAGGGATAGTAAGAAAAGAAAAGAAAGGAATGTACAATGCAATGAAATCCACAGAAAGCTTAAGAGTCTTTGCTGCAAAGAGGTCGAGTTGTTCGATAGAGACTTTTAAATGTTTTATCAAAAGGTCATGAGTTCGAGTCTCTACTAACGAGAATAGCCATAGAGTTCTTATCTGGCCGATAGTTTCAAGGTCTCAAAGGATTAGTTGACATGCACCTAGTTGGTCCGGACAAACCCGATCATAAAAAAGAAAAAAAAAGAAGTTTAACTTTAAAGTAATGGAAATTAAGTTATCCCATGTTGACAAACTTTCATCAATTTGCTAATTCAAATTGTCTATTATTATAAGAAGCAAACAAGGCAATGAAAGAGACCCTAGCTGTGTTTCCCACAATGAAAGAGCCCTAACTGGTAATAAGTGATCCGGCACTCCTGATCATACAAAAAAAGAATGTTTAACATGTTAAAGTAATGGTAATAAGTTATCCCACGTTGACAAACTTTCATCAATTTGCTAATCAAATGTCTCTTATTATAAGAAGCAAACAAGGCATAGAAAGAGACCCTAACTGGGTTTCCACAACGAAAGAGACCCAACTGGCAATTATGTTGGTCTGGAAACCCGATCATTACAAAAATAGGAATGTTACATGTTAAAGTAATGGTAATTAAGTTATCTGACATTGACAACATTCATCAATTTGCTAATTCAAATTGTCTATTATTATCAGAAGCAAACAAGGCAACGAAAGAGACCTTAGCTGTGTCTCCCATGATACTTCACTTTCAGGTCTTTCTTAACTTTGACAACGTGAAACATATTACTCTTTCATTGTAAAGGTACATACTTGTAATGCCATGTGAAACATACTAGTTATTGCCTGCTGCAGTTAGTATCTCAATTTTTCTCTAAAACCCACCAAATGTATGGCACAATCACACAGAAACCTATGATCAATCCAGCAGGTTGTTTGTATGTCCATTCCTTGTTTCATGTTTGCATCCCTGTGTCAAATATATAGGGCTGCACGTGGTTCATCATCTTTTTTCTAAGGGAATCTTATTAACACGTGATTAACATCTTTACTTCATATTTAACCAGAGATCGAGCAAGAACATTCGATAAATAAAGAAATAAAAGGACTCTCAACTAAGCACCAACATAAACAATCGAACCTTTGGCAAAAGAGACTCAAACTCTGGGGATCCACACGAGAACCTGATTGAATTCTTTAAATTAGCCTTCAATTTCAACAGTTGGTGAGAAATTATCAATGTTTCATATTAGTCCTGATCTGCACTAAGTCACTTGCATAAGTACATCCGACAGAAATGCAGGCGTCATACATGTTTGATTCAATCAGTTGGACATATTCATTTGGTGCTACTTTCATATCTAAACCAGAGAAGCACAAAAATTGAAACAAAAAAAAAAAAAAAAAAAAAAAAAAAAAGGACTTGCAGCTAAGTACCAACCTGAATTTGGAGAGAGATTCCATTAACTCCAACATCCTACAACAACCTAGCATAAGTAAACATCCAACAGAAATGCCGGCATCGTCATGTTTGATTAACCAGTTGGACCTATTCATTGGTGCTACTTTCATATTTAAACCAGAGAAGCACAAAATTGACAAAAAAAAAAAAAAAAAAAGGACTTGCAGCTATATCAACTATCGAAACTTTGGAGAGGAGATTCCATTAACTCCCAACATCAATGCAACAACCTAATAAAAGTCTTTAATCTTCATCTTCAAAAGATGATCATGTTACAAAATTTATCCTTAGCATGTACCAGAAGTTAGCTAATATTAAGTAAACATCCAACTGCAATGTGCATGATATAAAGATTAACCAATTGATTTGGCCGAATGAGGAAAAAAGTCAAAGAATGCATAGAAATCTAAGATAAAATTCAGGTCCAGAAAATTCATAGGCAACGGTGTTAATATAACTCCCTGATTGTTCTGTTTCAGACAAGTAGTAAAAGGCAATGCTAAAGCCTGAGTAATCTGAAAAACTAATTTTACACATTAACCAGAATGTTCGCCTTTCTGGGAGGAAGCACAATGTTTTTGTTCCAGGGAAGGCATCTCGAGAGATGTCTACAAGGGCCCTGAAATTAGAATGTTCGTGCATCGACAGTTCTGACAGAACTTTGCTGTTTACTTGACTGTTCTCCTTCATCAAACCATACATAAAGTTACCCATAGTTAACCTAGTTAACAAATTGATACAGGACAAATGAGAAATTGATGAAAATTAGTAGCCCTCCGGTAGCATCTGTAAGTGTTAGCCTACTTCAAAAGGGATAAAGGTAATGAGATGTGGGTTAGTCTACTTCAAAAGGGATAAAGGTAATGAGATGTGGGTTACCATAATCAGCATTTCAACTATCATCTAATGACAGAACTTTGTATAATTTGCTTGTTTTCACACAGGGAAGGGAACATTAGTCGATGTATTGTACAAATTTTTTACCCTCATCAGTTTTTATTTTTTTATTATTATTTTTTTTTATTGATGTTTTTGTGGATTTCTAGTCCACTGATGTACTCAATCTCTTCTTTAACTGATCAAGTCATGATATTTTGCTGGAAATGCAATGTTCAAGGGCTGGTAGTTTGAAGATGTTTTTTTTGGTGCCAAGGAAGAGCAGTGTGCTGTGTTGGAAGAAGTGGTTTAGGGGTAGCTGATTGATATTTTTTGTTGTGATGTAATTAGCTAGATGCAGCCAAAAATATGGCTTTATATCCCTTAATTGTAATGCATTTGTTCACATTGTGTGGCTTAGTTTTGATCATGCAAAAAGGTCCTTGATATAGTGGCTGTAATAGTGGACTGCAAGTATTATATTGTGTATAAGTTGTGCTTAATGGTTCAATGAATGTAGCTTGTTCTCTCCGGATTTTTCTTTCTTTGTATAATCTGGCATTTAAACCAACAAAATGGTATCAGAGCCATCTCACCAGACCTCTAGATAAAATCACAAAACTGATCTTGAACCTTCGTCACCCTCCAGCTTTCTTAAAGAACAACTTTGTCCCAAGTCACATAACCTGCATCTATGGCATCTCAGTCAGCCTCCCTTTCACCTCCTTTCGTCAATGGTGAGCAATACCATATTTAGGTTGTAAGGATGAAGGCCTATCTAAGAGGGCAGACACTCTGGCAATACGTTGAAGAAGAGAAACCGCCTCTTCAACTAGGTCCAAATCCCACTTTGAATCAAATGAGGTTGTATGAAAAAGAAATGTCAAAGGCTCCAAGGGCTTTATCTCACATTCATTCGGCTGTTACAGACCTTGTGCTTACAATGATAATGGCATGTGAAATAGCAAAAGAAGCATGGGATAAGCTAAGAGAGGATTTTATAGGAAGTGATACAATCAGAAATATACAAGTGATGAACTTGAGGAAGGAATTTGAGATGGTGAGAATGCAGGAAGTTGAGAAAGTAAAAGAATATGTGGATAGACTGATGTGTGGTTAATAAGGTCAGGTTCTTGGAGTGGAAATGAGTGACAAGATGATTGTTGAGAAGGTGCTAGTGAGCTTGCTCGAGAGGTTTGAATCAAAGATTTCCTCTCTAGAGGATTCCAAGGACCTGTCACAAATCACTCTTACTGAGTTGGTCCATGCATTGCAAGCTCAAGAACAAAGAAGATTAATGAGGCAAGAGGATGCTAATGAAGGTATTATGATGGAAGCTCAAAGAGGAAAGATTATGCAGAGGAATAATAGAAGGTATGCTAGAGATAAGAAAGGGAAAGAAAAAACCAGTGGTCAGTGGGGAAAATCAAGTGGAACAAGGGGCTATCCACCATGTCCCCACTGTAAGAAAAAGAGTCACTCAGAGAACAAGTGTTAGCTTGGGCCTGGAATCCAATATAGGGCCTGCAAAGAATTTGGCCACATTGAGAAGGTGTGCAAGAACAAAGAATTTGGCCACATTGAGAACGTGTGCAAGAACAAAGGAACTCATCCACCACAATAAGCTCAAGCTGTAAAAGATCAACAGCAAGGCCATGAGTCTGAACAATTGTTTGCAGCTTCCTGTTACACAGCTCAGGCCAGCAATGAAGTGTGGTTGATAGATAATGGGGACATCAACCACATGGCAGCAGATTTGCAGAATTTCATCAGGCTGGACAAGTCTTACTACTCTAGAGTCAAAATTGGGAATGGAGACTATGTAGAGGCCTAGAGAATTGGTGATATTGCTGTCCTAACACAATTAGGTACCAAAGTTATATATATTTCAAATGTTTGTTATGTACCCAAAATCACTCAAAACTTATTAAGTGTAGTACAAATGCTAGAAAAGGATTATTCCCTACACTTTCAAAACCAATCATGTGTTATATTAGATAGTAAGGGAAATGAGCTGATGAGTGTCAGGATGTTGGGAAAGAGCTTCCCGGTTTAGTGGAAAAAATCAGAAAATTGTACACTAACCAGGAAGTCTGAAGAATCTGAGCTTTGGCATAAAACAGTTGGCCATTTCCATTACATAGGTCTTAAAGAACTTAGAAGTAAAGACATGGTCCTATACTTACCTAAAATTGAAGAGAAGAAAAACCTTTGCACCGCCTGCCAGCTTGGCAAACTCAGCAGGCCATCTTTTCCATCAGATCAAGCCTGGAGAGCTAGTGATAAACTGTAGCTGATCCGATGTGTGTGGTCCCATGAAGACTGAATCTCTGAATGGAAGTAGATTCTTTATGTTGTTTATTGATGATTTCTCTCGGATGGCCTGGGTGTATTTCTTGAAGCAGAAAAGTGAAGTAGTTGATGTATTTAGAAAATTCAAGCTCCTATGGAGTATCAAGCTGGGACAATGATCAAAGCCATAAGAAGTGACAATGAGATATAATATACATCAAGTGAGTTTAGCTCAATTTGCCAAGAGGCTGGAATTTTGCATCAGTTTACTACTCCTTATACCCCACAACAGAATGGGGTTAGTGAAAGGAGAAACAGAACCATCATGGAGATGGCAAGATGTATGATGGCAGAGAAGAAGCTTCCCAAGATGTTTTGGGCTAAAGCTGTCAATATGGGAGTTTATCTCCTAAACAGACTACCAACTAAAGTAGTCAAGAACAAAACTCCAGTTAAAGCCTGGAGTGGAATAAAACCAACAGTGGGCAACCTGAGAATATTTGGGAGTATTTGCTATGTCATGGTTCCAGCAAACAAGATAACCAAGTTGGATGACAAAGTTGAGGTATGTATCTTTATAGGATACAACAACCAGTCAAAAGGTTAAAGAGTTTACATTCCTGAGTCCAAGAAAATTGTGATTGCAAGGGATGTAAATGTGGATGAAACATCAGTATGGAACTGGGAAGAGAAGAGAATAGATGAAGGAACCAGTCCACGGCAGGAAGAGCCAACAGGGGAACTAATTAATGAGGCAGATTCTGATGAAGAGGAAGAACCTTCAGTGAGAGGAACTAGATCCTTAGCTGAAGTGTATGAAAGGTGCTATTTGGCTATGTTTGAACCTCGAAATTACAATGAAGCTGCAAGGTCAGAAGTGTGGAAGGTTGCAATGCAAAATAAGCTTTCAATGATAGAAAAGAATAACACCTAGAAACTTGTTGATAGACTAGGAAATAGAAAAATGATCCACGTGAAGTGGATTTTCAAGATGAAAGTCAACCTTAATGGATCAGTCCACAAACAGAAGGCAAGACTTGTGGTTAAAGGATTTGCACAATAGCAAGGGGTATATTTTTCAGACACTTTTGCACCTGTAGCCAGGCATGACACCATCAAGTTGTTACTTGCACTTGCAACTCAGTTTGACTGGAAAATTTTCCAGTTTAATGTTAAATCATCATTCTTGAATGGCTGGATTACTAAGGAGATCTACGTGGAACAGCCGAAAGGCTATAAGGTTAGAGGTAAAGAGGACCAGCTGTATCTACTGAAGAAGGCCTTTTATGGCCTAAAACAGGCTCTTAGAACTTGGTATAGCCAGATAAATGACCACCTATGCAACTTAGGATACACTAGGAGTCTTACTGAATATACACTCTATGTTAGGAAGACTAAAAGTGGCTTGATTGTGGTCTCATTGTATGTTGACGACTTGCTGATTACAGGAAGCAACTCTGAAGAATTGAATAAGTTCAAAGCAGCCATGCAAACTAAATTTGAAATTATTGACTTAGGATTGATGACTTACTTTCTTGGTATGGAAACAAGTCAATCTAGAGATGGTATTTTTGTATGCCAACCGAGGTATGCAAGTGAGATCCTCAAGAAGTTTGGCATGGAAGGTTGTAAACCTGTGGATATTCCATTAGTTCCCAACCTAAAGCTGAGCAAAGAGGATGGTGCAGAAAGAGTGGATGAAGGTTAGTATAAAAGCCTGGTTGGTTGCCTGTTGTACCTTACAACCACTAGACCTAATCTCATGTTTAATGCAAGCTACCTTTCCAGGTTCATGAGTAATCCAAGTGACCTGCATTTTAGAGCAGCCAAGAGAGTTTTGAGGCATGTGAAAGAGAGTACCATGCTTGGTATTTGGTTCAAGAAATCAGAAAACTTGGAGCTATTGGGTTACACTGACAATAATTGGGGTGGATCCCTTGATGACTTGAATAGCACCTCTGGTTATGTGTTTTACATAAACTCGTGTGCAGTTTGTTGGTTACCAAAGAAGCAAGAGATTGTGGCTCAGTCCACAGCAGAAGCAGAGTACATCTCTGCTGCTGCAGCCGTGAACCAAGCTGTATGGCTAAGGAAAATCTTGGATGATTTGAAGCAAACTCAAGAAAGTCCAACACTGATTTTGTGTGACAATCAGTCTGCTGTAGCCATGGCCAAAAATCATGTACTCCATGGCAGAACCAAGTACATTAAGATTAAGTGCCATGCCATGAGGAAAGCTGAACAATGTAGGGAAGTCAATTTGGTGCATTGCAAAGGAGAAAATCAGATTGCTGACATTATGACAAAAGCCTTGTCCAAAGTCAAGCTTGAAGACTTAAAGCTAAAACTTGGTGTTTCCAGCAAAAATATCAAAGAGGAGTGATGAAGTCATGATATTTTGCTCGAAATGCAATGTTCAAGGGCTTGTAGTTTGAGGATTTTTTTTGGCACCAAGGAAGAGCAGTGTGCTACGCTGGAAGAAGTGGTTTAGGGGCAGCTGGTTGATATTTTTTGTTGTGATGTAATTAGGTAGATGTAGTCGGAAATATGGCTTTATGTCCCTTAATCGTAATGCATTTGTTCACATTGTGTGGCTTAGTTTTAATCATGCAAAAAGATCCCTGATATAGTGGTTGTAACAGTAGACTACAAGTATTATATTATGTATAAGTTGTGCTTAATGGTTCAATGAATGTATCTTGTTCTTTCCGGATTTTTCTTTCTTTGTATAATTTGGCATTCAAACCAACATTAACACATGGTTTTATCGTTTCTTATAAGAAAACTAACATTAGAGGTGGAGTAACACTAAACTCCTATAGTAAATAAATAGAATTTCCGCTAACACTATTTCACTGTATTTACTCCAAGGCTCCACCTAGTTAGCTTTCACCTTGTTACAACAAATATACGTTGTTGATATATAAAGCACATAACATATAACGCAGCAGGTACTATGAACTCCCTAGATTTATGATCTTTCCCCAACAAAACAACAGTCAAATACCTCATTTTTTTACTTTGTATTATCCAACATAACACATATCCCATGCAACTATCAGCGGAAACAACTTCTGTACACAATGCTTTCACACCCAGAACATAAAAATGTTAAAAATAAACTTCAATCTGCAGAACAATCCAAATTGTGGTTTAGTTTTCTTGAAAGTTCTTCAAGATTTTGGTCGAGTAAGACAATATAATTATAATTTTTTTCAATATGTTCGCAAATTTCCAATATTTAAGATTTTTAGTTACTATCTTTTCCTTTTCATTTTTTATTTTCAGAAAAATAATCAAACCAGGGAGAATATTTCTCTTTTTCTTCAAGTGAGGAGATGATTGTGTATAAGTGTTCTGTAAGTCAGTCAAAACTAACAACTTTAGTAGACTTTTCCACCTTTGATAGTCAAGAATTCAGTATATGAGTTTAAAATTGTCCTTAACTTCTGCAAGCAAAACACTAGTTTTTGTTGATCAAGATGATATTATGCTGGAAACTCATGAAGTTGGTCACATTTTTGTAATACTGAAGCTGCATATTCTGGCAGCAAAAACTGGAGTTTTGTTGCTGTTAGTTTCTATTGTAATGCATCAGCATTTTTTTAATTATTATAATGTACACCTTAGGTGAATTAAGCTAAAAATGTGCTGTTGATTAGGTGTTGATGTAATGTGATGTGTTTGTAGTAGTTAGTAAAGTATGGCTGTTTAATTTTGATTGTAAGCCTACTGCAGAGTAGGTGTAACAGCATTACAAACCATGTATTTTATTCTGCATTTTTTTCAATGTAACATTAAAATTCCTGTATGCAATATTTTGAGTGTGTGTGCCAACATAACAGTAGGGTTTTCCTTAGAATTCTCCAGCTCTAAAACCATCATTTGGTATCAAAGCCATCGTGAGCTTCCAGACCAAAAACCTTAACTCTACAAACACAACTCAAGTCCCTTAAGATCTCCTCCACGGCAACAAATTCAGCATCTCTTTCTCCACCTATCTTTAATGGTGAGCAGTACCATGTTTGGGCTGTCAAAATGAAGACCTACTTGAGAGGCCATTCCTTATGGCAATATGTGGAGGAAGAGAGACAAATCCCTCAACTTGGAGCAAACCCAACATTGAATCAAATTAGGATACATGAAGAAGAGGTTGCAAAGGCTCCAAGAGCAGTCTCCTGCATCCATTCTACAGTAACCGACCAAGTCTTCTCCAGGATAATGGCATGTAATACTCCTACAGAAGCTTGGGACAAGCTCAAGGAGGAGTTTGGGGGAAGTAACTAAACCAGAAACATGCAGATCTTAAACTTGAGGAGAGAGTTTGAAGTGCTCAAAATGCAAGAAACTAAAAATGTCAATGAGTATGTGGATAGATTAATGAATGTTGTAAACAAGATTAAGCTACTTGGTGAAAAGTTGACTGATCAGAGGATTGTGGAGAAGGTTTTGGTCAATTGACCCGAAAGATTTGAAGCAAAAATCTCCTCACTTGAAGACTCGAAAGACCTATCCTAGATCAGCCTAGTTTAACTTGTGCAT